TATATATTATATATATAGAGACAGAATTTTTTTTGACAGAAAGTATGACTAAAACAAACAGCAGAAAATGTACAACAGTTTGTTGTGAATTTGTTGCAACAGAATGCAATGATGAATCAAATAAAGCTTTCACATACTCGAATGGAGTTTAAAATCATAATAATAATAATAATAATAATAAAAGAAAATAGAAAACACTTTAGTATCAATGCACATTATAAAATAAGAACAAATTAATATTTGTAGAATCCTTGTGTGTTGATCATGTAACCTAAAGAAACCTAAAAATGGATGTAAATGTGACCTAAATAAGTTTGTTTTGCAAATTTACGACTGGTTGTATTGCGAATTGTGTTCTGATTTGTGTAGAATATATTTCAGGCCGTTTTGCTAAACATAATCTGCATATACTGCACGATTCCTGTATGATCAGCAGTTTGTCAAGGAACTTCGGGAAGCAGCGATGCTTCCTTCGTCAACGAGGAAAGGCAAGAAATCCCTGTAGGACGGTTTGCGGCACTATCTCGCCATTTCCTCGATTTCCCCTCTGTGAAGGGCCGAGGACGGGGGTTGAGGTGTAAATGACATTTGCTGCAGGAGCCGTAGGCAATCTTTGGAGACGACTCAGTCAGATTCCTCATCTGTGACTCAACGGAGGCTGGAAGATGTGAATCACAAGTGGACAGCATTCTCACCCTCACTTTCTCCCTTCTTCTCTCCTCTAATAACACAGCTTCTCACAGGCTGAGCATAAAAAGGATTCCCACAATGCAAGACAAATCCATTTACAACATTATTGAGGCCAAGCGAGAACACAGCCTGACAATTAAGCTCAAATGATGAGACTCATACTTCCCACAACAAATACAATTATTCTTTGCCTTCATGGAAATAAAAGAATGATCAAACTTTTGGATGAATTACAACCAGATGTCAGGGAATTACACTGAGCTGTTGTGAATGAGATGTTGTAGGCGGGTTCAGATAATGTCACATGACATCAAATCCTTTCCTAGCATTTTTAGAATAATGAACTTCTTGATGGAATTTCAATATAAGAAAAGCAAATGATGAATAAAGTGAAACAAGTGATATTTTATCTACTGCAAGAGCAGACATGACAATACTAAAATATTTAATTCTGATGTAAATCACTACAAAAATAAAATAAAATAAAATAAGTCCTTGTGTAAAGATCATGTGACCTGAAGTCATTAACACTGATCTCAACTAGAATGCGTCTTATGACTTGGATGAAGTGTGTTAATATAACAGATGATTTTCAATGACGATTAGCAAGGAGCTAATCTAAGAAGTTTAATTACATAGAGGAGACTAACTACCAGTGTTCAAAATACTTTGAAACAAATGGCTAAGGGCACAAATATACTTTATGCAAGCGCATGAACAAACTGTAGATGTGAATGCTTGGTCAATGCATTGCAATACATTACTTTATGAGTGTTAATTTAACCCAGTCTCATGTGGACTGATAATAGTTGGGTCATACAAAAAATAATAATAATAATATATATATATATATATATATATAAATTAAACCTAATTTGTCAGTGACTATAAAAGGACACAAACCTTACAAAACCTTTAAAAAAAGCAACACAAACTAAAAACAAAACAACACAACACAAACCAATACATAAAACAAAACAACAAAAAATGATAAAAACCTTAAAAACAAAACAAGCAAAGCAACAAAAACAAAACAACCAAACACAAAATAACAAACTTAAAACAAAATACAAAACAAAGCAACACAAACATAGAACAAGACAAAACAAAAAAGATATAACAATAAAACACAAAACAAAACGACCAAACACAAAATTTCAAAACATAAAACAAACAAACACACAAAACCTAAAACAATACAAAGCAACACACACACACACACACACACAACAAAAAAGACATAATAAAACACAAAACAAAATAGCCGAACACAAAATAAAAAATAAAAAAAACACCAAAAACAAAACAATAAGACAAAATAAAACACAAAACGAAAGCAGAGCCATGTCGATAAACTTACAAGCACCTCCCGAGAATTTGAAAAAATGTGGGTTGTCGGTCTGAATTTGACCAGTGTATAGGCTCTCACCTATTCATAAATCATACACAACCACATCAACTAGACTACTAGCAACTCTATAGCGTGCACATACACTGACACACACACAAAACACTCTCTAGTTGTTTCTGTTGAACGGAACAGCCATGCTGTATCCTGCTGTTCACCAAACCATCTGCATAGCTGTCTTTTTGGTTTCTTTCTTTTTTCCTCCTAAGTTATGCAACAATATTAAAGACGCCAAGGTATGTGTTTAGCGCCAGAGCTCATGCAATTGCCACCGGCTCGCTATGCAATGTAGTCATTCCGTGTACCAACTGCTTTCATGCAATTAACAGGTTAACTGACTTGTAACGTGTACAAGGGCTCACAAGCTCCTGAACTCACACAGTGTACGTCCGGATTTACAGTAATGCTGAGAGTGAGACTTCATAATCAGACTGTGTATGAACAGAACTTGATTTCGCTTTATTTGAATTGAACTTTATTTATTGCTGCCATGTGCATGCTCAATAATCCCAGCATGCATAGACATGAACAGATCACTGATATTATTACTGCACATATAATAACCTGTACGGCCCAGGGCAAGGGTTTCTCATATACTTCACATATAAACTATGGTTCAATCAGAGGTTATGGTCTTATGAAGCTCTGACTATTAAGATGAATCTTTTAAATGTCCCTAGCAATTATCTGGACTAAATTATATTATGTTTAACTGCTATGCTTGGCTGTGCCCAACTGCTGGGTGTAGAAAGAGCTTCCCGAACCATCAGAATCAAAATAATGGGAATAAAACCAGACACATGTAAGTGGAGTAAATAATTATAAAATGCAGAGATATGGAATGAGGGAAATGGAGGAAGAAAAAATATATACAAATAATCCAGGATAATTAATAAAATAATTTATAATACCTTTTAGGTGTTTAAATATTACTATTACATATTAATTAATATTAATATACAAAAAAGTATCAAAAGTAAACTAGATATGAAAACTAAATATGAATATGTAAATTATGTAAATTAATAAATGAATGAATGACAGACTAAAACAAAACTAGATAAATGCAACAAAATATGAAAAGTATGAATACACTTGTGTAAAAATGTCTAAGTGATTTTTTTTAAATGGAATAATAAATAATATGAAACATAAATTCAATGCATGCAAATGAATGAAAGAATGAATGAATGAATGAATAAAAAAATGTAATATTTGTATGAAACTTTCTCACTTCTTTATTTTTGAAACAAAAGGATAAATAATATAAACAACATTAAATTAATGGAATGTAAACGAATGAATGAATGAATGAATGAATGAACAGCCTACAAACAAAACTAGATAAATACAACAAAATGAGGAAGAAAAAACCTCGCATTCTATCTTATTTTTCTGAAACTGAATAATAAATATAAATGCCTTTAAAGTGTGTAAAAACACAACAAGACCAATACAATGAAAAAAGAAAATTTGTCTTTCACTGAATTTTCTTGAGTACATAAATGGTACATTCAGCAGGTGTTATTGGATGTTTTCACAATTGGGAAAGTAAAACCGCCTAAAATGCAAGTTCATTCTCACTATCTCACCAAAATCACATTGCAAACATTTCATGGATGAATCTGAACCACATTTTCTCATGTCGACACTTTTGCAGATCAAATTTACTCACGTGAAGTTGGAGAGTTTCTGTCCACTGTCCTATAACTTTATATCCGGGAGTGTTGTTGATATTCATCTGGTACTGGAAAAGATCGTACCGTCCGGGTGCGTCGCCATTCCGATTGAACGTGACGGACGTCCCCGCGCTCCCTACGAAAGAAAGAATCAGACTTAGAAACCTTCCTTCAAAATTGTCAGATGAAAATACTGTGTATCAATCATACATAAAGAAAAAAAAGCCCTGACATGCCTCGCAGACAACAAGAACCCATTGTTTGCATTTCCACTCCATACCGAGACGAAAGTTAGTTTGGTTGTGACAGAAATACAAACAACATATGCCTCTCAGGCCAACAGCGGAGACTGAAAAGACCTGACAGTCATCGCCAACTGATTGTTTGAAGAGCTTTACCTGCAGGGCTTGGCACTCACGATCACAAGTCTGCCAAAACACAATCAACAGTGTGGCTTTCTCGAGCAAAGATGAAGCATCAGCCGTTCGCTGTGGGCTGCTGACACGTCCTCATCACACTTATTATACTGGGAACCATGGGCTGTGTAAGGTAGCTATCAGTAGCACTGTTTTGATATAAGAAACATTTACTTAAAATGTAAGATCGCTACTTTAGTGCAGCCTGTTTTATTGTCAAAAATGATCACTCTTACTATTTTTGAGCTCTCAGCCATGGAAAAACCTAATCGAAAAGTGAAAAAATAAAAGATTTACAGATGTACAAGGATTCTCTCAAAATATTCTTTTTATGCATGGATCCATAAAAATTGATAATTGATAAGTTAAATTATGAGACATTCTGCATACAAAGCACACACTCGACAAATCATACAAATTAAGTAACATACTTATAACTAACATACAACAGACTTAAGTAACTGTTTTGTAATCATGGCCCTCGTATGTGATCGGAATGACAGCAGTTCATTTAGACATATTATTTTAGATTTTATTTTCATATTTAACTTTATTTATGTATATACTGAAACTGGAAACCTGTAAATGAAGTAATGATACAATTCACATATACTGTATGAAACTATATATATATATACATACACATTTTAAGTGCTTAAATGTTGCTATTACATTACTATTACAATATTACTACAATATTATATTATATTATTATAATTACAATATTACTATTACTTAATAAAAAACTAAGCATAAAAATAAACTATACATGAAAGTTAAATGTGGAAAAAAGTGTAAAAAATGCTGATTTTTTATTAGAATAATACATAATATAATTTATAAATTTAAGGTATGAGAATGAATGAATGACAGCCTAAATTAAACAAAATATGATAAAATAATACTTTAATAAGATTTCTTCTCTTAAAAAAATAAATAAATAAAATAATAATAATAATGCCACTTCATTCATTCATTCATTCATTCATTCATTCATTCATCCGTGTTTATTTTACAAAAAGTATGATTTATTGATTTATAAATATAATTATGTTTATATGGGTGGTTGATATTTATTCACATGACAAATATTACTATTTTAACAAAACAAATAAATAATTATAACAATTATTAATTACATAATTAATAAATAATTCAATAATACAAGTAATACACGTAATACAAGTATAATAATAATAATAATAATAATAATAATAACAATAATAATAATAATAATAATAATTTATTGTGCCAAAATGTTTAGTTTTTAGAATTTAATACTTTAATTTATATTTTCATCATAATAGATTAGTTAAACCACCCTGACAATTCTGACTCAAAATAATTTTAACACAAAAATGTATAGTGTTTGTGTATTAATGTTTACATTTACAGATCTGAACATAAAACTGAACATCAGTGACCCATAAAATCCTCCAACTTATTTATACAACCAAAATACTGGATTGTTCGGAATGTAATCCAAATCCAAGTAATCTCTTTTAAAACTACCTCAGGCATGACGACGGAGGGGGAAAAGTGGCAGTGAAAGTAATTAAGGTAAGATTCAGCAAAAATTCAAAAAATTGTTGCATTGAGCAACATGGGTGGATAAAAACCCACTTGAGTGTATTTTAGTTCCTTCATTATTCAGTCACTTTGGCATCACCCGCTGCCTTTTCAGGTTTATTTTGTTTGTCCGGTTTTGTTAAGAGGGCATCATGGGAAGAAGGAAGAAATGTCCTCTTCTTCTAATAGACTTTAGGGAGAATGAAGACACCGAAAAGTACAGGAGACCCACAGAGATAAAGAACAATTACACGCTAGCAACACTTAAAGAGTGGATAAGGGCCTGGAAAACCTGCTGAATACCACAAATAACAGCCTTCCACTTACATTTACATTTAGTCATTTAGCAGACGCTTTTATCCAAAGCGACTTACAAATGAGGACAATAAAAGCAGTTAAAACTAACAAAAGAGCAACAATACATAAGTGCAAATGACAAGTCTCAGTTAGCCTAACGCAGTACACGTAGCAAGGTGTGTGTATATATATATATATATATATATATATATATATATTATATACACACACACACATATACACGCACAAACAAAGAAAAACAAGTAGATAGAATAGTAAAAATATAATTAATTAATGTTAATTCACGTCACACTGAATTAACAAGAACCTTCCGCGATGCTGCTTCTGCCGATAACTTTACTTTTTTTTCTCCTCTGAATTACAAGTTTATATCTCACAATTCTTACGTTTTCCTCAGAATTCCAAATGTACATCTTGAAATTCAGACTTTTTTTCTCAGAATCCATAATTAGCATCTCACAATTCTGACTTTTTTCTCAGAATTCCAAGTTTACATCTCGAAATTCTTACTTTTTTCCTCAGAATTCCAAATTCAATCTTGAAATTCTGACTTTTTTTCTCAGAATTCCAAGTTTACATCTTGAAATTCAGACTTTTTTTCTCAGAATCCATAGTTAGCATCTCACAATTCTTACTTTTTCCTCAGAATTCCAAGTTTACATCTTGAAATTCTTACTTTTTTCCTCAGAATTCCAAATTAAATCTTGAAATTCGGACTTTTTTTCTCAGAATTCCAAGTTTACATCTTGAAATTCAGACTTTTTTTCTCAGAATCCATAGTTAGCATCTCACAATTCTGACTTTTTTCTCAGAATTCCAAGTTTACATCTTGAAATTCAGACTTTTTTTCTCAGAATCCATAGTTAGCATCTCCCAATTCTTACTTTTTTCTCAGAATTCCAAGTTTACATCTTGAAATTCAGACTTTTTTCCTAAGAATTCCAAATTAAACCTTAAAATTCTTATTTTTTTCTCAGAATTCCAAGTTTTCATCTCACAATTCTAACTTTTTCTCAGAATTCCACGTTTTCATCTCACAATTCTAACTTTTTCTCAGAATTGCAAGTTTGCATCTCACAATTCTGACCTTTTTTTTTCTCAGAATTCCAAGTTTAGATCTTGCAATTCTGACTTTTTTCTCAGAATTGTGAGTTACCATCTTACAATTCTGACTTTTTCTTGAAATTCCAAATTTACATCTCAGAATTCTGACCTTTTTTCTCTTCTTAGAATTCCAAGTTTACATCTTGAAATTCTGACTTTTTTCTCAGCATTCTGAGTTCACATCTCACAATTGTAGTTTGTTTGTTTTTTTTTTTTTCTCTCAGAATTCCAAGTTTATAACTCTAAATTCTGAGTTTATGGCTGACAATATTTTTATATACAGATATAAATTTTCGATATAAATTTAGAATTGCAAGAAAAAAGTCAGAATTGTGAGATAAAAAGTCACAGTTACCTATTTATTTACTCCGTCCTTCCTTCCTTCCGTGGTGGAAATGGGCTTTCATGTTTTTTACCTCATACAAGTCTTTAAAAACCCAGTAGCAAAATGTCCCAGTTACGTCACATCACAGCAGTGAATTCACCCGCTAAACTTCTATGCTACTCAGAGACTTCCAATCTCAATATTATACAGTAATTGCACTGTAGATATTAGATATGGATGGAACCTTCTTAAATATATTAATTATTAGTATGCAAGGAGCCTTTGAATCTTTTTTTATGTTCGCGCTGGAGGAAACCCTTTGAAAAAAACGGCAGAAACGTCAGTCGCCCAACTTCAAGCAGTATGTTCTCTCTTTTTATTTATTTATTTGTTAATTTTATTCTCATCTTTCCCTGTATCTGTGACACATCCTTTCATCACAAGAGTTAACATGCATAAATAACCAGCAGACAAAAAACAGGACTGCACCATTTAATTAATAAGAGCAGTACTAGATAAACAGGTTAGTTGTATGACATGCACTTTCAGAAATATCTACTTTAATGTAATCTAATCTAATTTATTCACTGTGTCAGCCTGCTTAATTATAATTCCAAACTATTTATTTAGTTTCAATAATTTAAGACTGTTAACACTATTTTCTTCACTATGATAGATCTATTGTATAAATTTTATATGCCAGACTGCTTAAACTAATTAATAGCACATATTGTTTGAATTAGATCAGTATTTCTACTTTTCACTCAGAAAACTAGAACATTGTTCATGCTTCATACAATAACATCCATCGATGAATTCAATATTCCATGAACCAAAAGAAGATTCATCAATTGATATGTCTTAAAACGTATTTATGCAAAACATGCATACATAAATGTTCCAACTGTCAAGTCAACAGTTGAAAGTTAGATCTCAAAATAAAGTATGTCATGCGTGCACTTACATTCTGAATATGTATATGTATTATATATGCATGCCAGAGGGAAGGTTTTCTTGTGCATGCAATGCTCATAAATTATAAGTATTAGCTTATAAGTATCAGTAAACTATTAGTGTGCTACAGTAAACAATATCAGATGGAAAGCAAAAGTCAAAATGCTTTTGTTTATTTAATACAAAATGTTTAATTATAAATGGCATTATCAAGATGAAATTTTGAGTGAAAATGTGA